TTATCTCCATTTTTACAGATGAGAAAACTGAGGCTCAGGGAGACTGGGAAGTTTAGTTTGCCCAAAATCACAGAAGTAGATGTGGGGTCTCAACTCAGGTCCATCAGAAGCTAAAGCCCCTTCTCATTCTACAAAAATCATGTTTGCTCAAGTCTTCCCTTTACGAAATTGGCACAGTTCTGTAAAATGTGGATTTGCTCCAGAAATGTCGTTGATGAACTTTGGCTAGGTCCCCATATTTTCTTAATGCTGATACATTTTTTACTCTGAGTCAACACCATCTAGTTACTAATGAGGCGGAGAGGGTGGGAAGAAACCATATTAAATGTACATACTCCTTCCCATCATTAGGTGTATCTTTAGCTAAGAAATAGCTGTAAGAGTCATAGAAACAGGCACTTAGCCAAATTATCCTAGAATCCTAATGCAACTGGAATGGACTTGGATACAGGCCCATTTGGGGGAAGGGGAATTGCTACTTTAAATTTACTTAATTCTTGCTCTGCATGAGAATCTGTGCTGAAAGCAGTAAATAATGAAACAAATGCAAAAGACAAGCCAGAATTACAACATCCCTGATCGCATCTCCAGGGTCACAGGTAAGGCAACCAAGCCCTATGCTGGTGCAAGGATTTGCCTCACGCACCATCCGTTTCCCAGTCAGAACAGCAGCACTCTCCTGACCCAGCTAGACCGGGCCAAGACTAGAGTCCTCGGCTCAACCACATGGACATCTGTAGGCATTTTTATATCACAGAGTATACTCGTACTCTTGTGCTGGACCTTTGCCACCTTCCTAGAAGAAGCAGGGTGATGTTATTCACCCCACTTTCAGGTAAAGAGAAATAAAGCTCAAAGAACAAGCAGCGTAGACAAGGCCCCAGAGGTATGGCCAGAGCTCTGTCCTGTACCTCCAAATCCCCAATTTTATGCACTTCACAGCAGTGATGACACTACTAACATCAAGAATAGCAAAGATGATGCAGCTAAATACTAGTGGGTGATGATGAAAAACGTGGGTGATTTTTCTTATAGATGCTTCATAATTTTTAGGATCTTAAGGAAAGATCAACACTTAATCTCCAAGAGTAAACCTCCATGCTTTATTTTGCTGATTTCACAAAGAATTAGATCAAAATGGGTGGATTTAAAAACACTCTATAGATGGAAATACCATCTTGGTGAAATTGCCACCAAAAATGCACCTTCAAATTTCCAGCAACTGAGAAGTAAATAAAATGTAGTATATCCATACAATGGAATATTATTTAGCTACATAAAGTAATAAAGTATTGATACATGCTATGCCATGGGTGAAATAAATGAAAGAAACTAGCCACAAAAGACTGTATTACATACATATGTTATGATTCGTCTTATATGAAATGCCCAAAATAGGCAAATGCAGCGAGAGAGAAAGTAGATTAGTGGTAGCCTCAGGCACAGGGAGGGGAAGTAAAGATGACAGCTGAGGGGTACAGGGTTCCTTCATGGGATGATGGAAAAAAAAGTTCTAAAATTAATTGTGGGATAGTTGTATGACTCCACAAATATACTAAAAACCATTGCACTTTATACTATAAATGAGTAAATTATATGGTATGTGAATTATATCTCAATAAAGCTGTTACCAAAAAATCCACCTTAACTTTCCTTGCAAATATGGAATTCCATAAAAAATGATTTGGTGATAGCTTCTTTATTATCATATCAAAAGAGTCCACATTCAGAGGAAGCAGAAGATTTTTTTTTTGACTGTGTCAACATTTCCTCGGTACCCTTGGCTTCATTACAGAAATAATTCACAGGCTCAAAAGACAAATGTTGTCTAAACTCAAAATACTGGAACCTATTTTCATAATATGCGATCCTAGTACACTAGCAATAGGTTCCACCTGCTCCATGGAAAATGCTTAGTAATTCAATATCCTGGAATAAATATGATACAAAAGGCTTCCCCTTGGCTTGTGCTGTCGACTCTACTGGGAATTTTTTTCCTTGCCTTGTTCCCTTGCCCACATCTACTCATCCACCTTGGAACCCCTCCTCTCCCAGGCCCTCCTCTGGGGTGGTTTTCCTTCGGGCGAGGAGGGGGCGGGGGTGGCCTCACTCAGCCCCCCACATTGCCATGCTATAATACTGTTTACTTGTTTAACTGCCCACAAAACCAAGAACACCTTGAAAGCAGGGGCCAGGTCCTGCTCGTATTTGAAACCCCCGTGCCCGGCACGTAGAGGACGAGGCCTCCAGCCTGTGTCAGCCAGCTTCAGGAGCAGCGGCAGCACGCTCACCTTTAAAAGTGTCTCAACTGGAAGAACTGCAAATATCAGCGAAGGAAAAGATTGAAATTAAACTTTAACAACTCCTAAGAAAACGTGAGTGCTAATGAGAAGCAGGATAACATCCTTTTTTTATAAGGTCAACGTAGTCACACTCCCTTATTCGGTACGCTGCTCTTCTCTTGCAGTAACTTGCGGAGGTATTTTATTATTGCAGCATAAGGCACAACTGCCACTTAACGGCACAGTATCAACGCAGTCCCTGCCCTCATGGGACAAAGTCTACCTGGACCACATTTCTTGAGATGATATTCAAGTGTCTGAGAACGGTGGGGCTGGTATTAAAGACCAACTGCCACAAAGTCAGCAGACTGGGGAAGTGATGAGAACATGGCTTCAATTCTGTCTCTGGCCCTTACTGACATTACTGGCAGCGTGAGTATGGGCAAGTTACTGAAGGGCTGTGCAACACCAGGCTCCTAATCTGCCCCATAGAGGAAGTAATCCCTAACTCCTAGAAGTGATATGAGAATTCAGATGGCACAGGGCCTGAAAACAGCAGCTGTCTCTTCTCTTTCTCCCAACACATACTTCCCAGATGCCTTCAGAAGTGTTGATAAGGAATAGATAAGCCTCTCCTAAGGCTTATCAAAACCATGGAAAGTTGAAAAGAGAAACTTCCTTAAATGCCAGTTTATTAAGAAGAACGAAAGTGTATGAAATCAGGATCAAAGATCTCAGCGCACATTCCTGGCACTGCCTTGTTGACCACGAGGCCCTGGGACGTGCCTAGGAGGCTGAGCCTCACCATCCAGGTGCTGACCACGAATCCCTCTGACACACACAGTGGGTAGGCAGAACTTGGGTATGGAAAAATACAGGCAGTCCCAGACTGTAAAGCTCATGTACCATTTCATTGTTCCTGTTGTTCTTTTAGCCTGTGTTTCAAAATCTGAATCCAGAGCAGCAAGTTTCAAAATGGTAAAAAGAATAAATAATAACAACTGTCAAAGGCATAGTGCTTACCCTATGCCAGGCACTGTTCTAAGATACATATATTCCCTCACTTCACCATCATCTGATGGGTAAACTGAGGCACCAGTTGGTTACACGACTCATGCCATGTGTTTAACATGGTAAACAGGGGAGCCAGGGTTAAAACCCAGCAGTCTGCTCTCCGGTCTTAACCGTGACACTCCAAGACTTCTCTCAAGAGCCTGTGGTCATGTTGACTTCACTCCCTCTTGACTTCACACCAGATTCTAGCAAAGTCACATTAATGAATTCTGCCATCTCAGTTTTCCCTGCCCTAAGAGAGCACTGGAAGTGGTACCAACCTAACAGCAGTTCCAGAATGAATTACAAACCACATGCCTTCATGCCCAAGAGAGACAGAGAGATAGACAGACAGACAGGGAGGGAGGGAGAACGCGTAGGAAGAAGTACCAGGTGACATGCAATAGCTGTTATGCAACTATATGACAAGTACTGCGCCAAATTTTTTAGAGCATCCCATTTTTATTTCCCATAACCACAGATTTGGATGTATATACACATATATATGCACACATATATGTATACACAAATGCACATAAGTGTATGTCTGTGTGTAAGCTTGTATAAATGCATATGTACATACATGCTTGTATGTGTCTATGTACATATGAGTGTGTGTGTATATAAAATGGATATTTCTTTAAATATATAGTTTATACAGAACACCATTTTATACAGGTCTCAGAAGGGACAAGTGGCTTGCCCAAGGCCACAGATCCTGTGAGCGTGCTGGAGACATGGTTTGAATCCTGCCATCTAACCCCAAAGCCTGCGCTCTGACCTACCCACTGTACCCAAACACTCTGACTTTCCCCCTAGTGACAAACTGCTAGGGTGTTAGTGATTTATATGCCAGAAAACCACAGCAGCACATCAAATTTCTGAAGCTGCATTTTGTGCTCTCTGTAGCATAAAAAGGCATGAATTAAAACAACCACACCTGGGGCCAAATGTGTCTCCTTCATAACTTTAAGAAGTCTCAAATCACTCTCAGGTGTCAGCCTCTTGAGTTAGATTAGAATTTGCAAAGATAAACATTCATTCATTGTGTTACATGATCTCCCACCAAAGGACTAAACAAATTTACCATCGTGAATATTAACAGCACCTTGAATTAACATATAATTTTTTAAAAAAATAAGACTGTTTCACAGGCATGTTCTCACAGAGCATTTACCCAACAAATAACCCAATAATATTACAACAGTGGTTGTCAACATTTATCGTGCTCTTACTATAAACCAAGTGCTGTCCCTAGCATTTTGCAGGCTTATCTAATTCAACTGCTCAACCTTCAGTAGCAGCTATTAGTGCTATCTCTGTTATTAATAATTCTTTAAAATGTCATTTAAGGAATCCTAGCTTTATTTCTACTCTGTAAATCTTTCTTCTGTACACATTCTCTGATGCTGAAAAATGTGCAGAGAAAACAATTTGTTCAATCTGCTCTCTTTTTGCAACATATTAGAGACTCTTGCTGTGAAAGGAACCGGGGTGAAGCCTTCTGTACAGGGAAAAGCTGTTTCAGGAGAAGGCCCTCTCTGTTTTCAGGGCTGGACATTTGCACATGGATGACCTGCAGCAGGGACACCCACATATGCATAAATTTGAAAAAGCAATGAGCACCCAAGGGAGACGGGGCTGCCGCTCGGGCTTGCTACTTACCAGCGCTGTATGAACTTTAAGATGTGCCTGTAGCTTATATTTATCTGGAGTCGAGTAGTCACAGCCGTCAGTGGGACACTTCAGCAAGATGTTACTGTGTTTCTGAATTACGTGACGTTTAAGGCAGTTTTTGGTGATGGAAGAATAATGACACTGGGAGCAATAATACAGATGTTCCCGGGTATGAGTGCGGACATGCATATCAAAATGCACTTGGTACCAAAAAAGTTTGCCTAAAAAAATATTTTCACATGAGAACAAGGAAGTTTCTTTTATACTGAATTTGAATTTTTTTAAATTATTGTTATTTTTAACTATAATATTTATCTCCCTCTTGTGCTTGTCCCGGTCACCTTTCACACTTTCTACCACATCTCTGCCTGGAAATTATTTTACAAAGGTGAGAGGTTACAAATATTAAGGGTACTACTATTTTTGCATGATGTCAGGATTAGGAGAGGAGGAAATTAATGTTTATTGAGGACCAATTATGATGCCTAATACTATGATGGACATGCATAAATCAAAGAGTCTCTAAACTCTACTGGCATTCGTGGGACACCGGGTCCAGGGCTGGACTTCCTACTTCCTGCACGACCAGCTCCCGGCAGATCCAGGAGCCGTGCTCTCACAGTGAGCTGAAGGGTACTATTCGGGGCCTCCCTACAGAGAGCTGCTGCCACTTTTGTAACCTTTCTCAGCTCATCTAGTACATGGCCACAACTTAAAGCTCGACTTTAAACTTGTCATGTGCCAGAAGAAAGATTCTTCATGGTTAAAGTTCTGGTAGAGGCCTTAGGGTAACCCTCAGCACACACACCTGACCAAGCCAACGCTGTCAGCTGTGCGGTCATCCCAGCTGCCTCCACAAAGACTCCGAGTGCTAACTGCAACACGGTGGTCACCCATTCCTATCTACAGTGGAGGACGTGGCTCATTTAGAAGGTGTTCTTTGCAAGGAGCCATGGGCTCAAACCAAACATAGGTGACCACAGCGTATCGGGGGTGGACAGGGCTGCTGGGAAGGAGAGCTCCATCAGCTGCATGCCCGTGCTGCCTTTCCTTACCACAATATTCACACTCCAGGTCTCCATAAACCTTCCGGATCCTCTCACACAAGCCGGTGTTCATCTGCTTCTTCTGTAAACTGTCCAGGACCTTCATGAATGCAGTCATGCCAGACCGGTGCTCAGGGGCAGCTTTGCAAGAGTCAGGCTGGTGTGTGACACTGTCCCCACCACCAGCTACTAGAGGAAGGAGGTCTGAGGCTTCTACTGGGTTTGACCTGAGACACCTGCTGGGATCAGGGTCACTGTCTGGAAGGGCAGCCATTCCCTGCCCTTCCCCTGGGGGGCTCTTAGCACTCTGGGTCTCCTGGTTTGGCCCGGCACTTTGGTCCTTGGAGAGTAGTAGCGTGATTACTTCACCCTGAGTCTGATCCGAGCCTCCGTGCTGGGTGTCCAAGGGCTTCTCAGGAGCAGTGTCACCCTCAGCAGAAGAGCTATCATTTTTCAACAAAAAATCATCTGAAACCACTGCATGAGAAGACAGGTCCGAAGAGACCACGGTGGTTTCCAGCTCACAAGGTGGCAGGGCTGTACTTTTGGCCTCAGGGGAAGCCAGGTGCACAGCCAGGGCGGGCATTTCCACAGGGGCCTCCAGCTCCTTCTGTCCCTCCTCGGACTGAGCGTCCCCAGGTGGGGACTCCTCTTTGAGTGCATTCACCCTCTGCAATGCAAACTCCTCTTCCGCCTGCTGCAGCTGGTCCCCCAAGGCTTCCTGCTGGATGTCCCCACCAGGCTCCAGGAGGCAGAAGCTCTGGTTGATGGAGCTGGTGAAGACCAAGGTCTCTTGGGCAGCCCCGTGTGCTTCTTTGATGTGGGAGCGCAGCCTGATGGAGCTGACAAACTTCTTGAGGCACACCGCACAGACATACACAAAGGGGTGCTTCCTGACATGCAGCTCCAACGCCTGGTACTTGGTGGCCCCATGGCCGCAGAGCTCACAGGCAAAGGGCCACTTGTCACCGTGGACCAGCATGTGGCGGTCTCGGTCCAGCTCGTTCTTAAACTTGCGCTCACAGATGTGGCAGTCATAGAGCAGCTGCCGCTTGCCCTCCCTGGTCATCAGGCAGAGCTCATCCAAGGCCTCCTTGACCTTCTTGTCCTGTGGGTCGTGCGCGTCTCGGATGTGCTTGATGAGGTTCTTGACATCAGAGTACTTCTTCTTGCAGAAGCGGCAGTGCTGCTTGATCTTCTTGTGCACCCGTTCGATATGCACCTTTAGGTGGCCCTTGCTCAGGCAGGTGAATGAGCAGTAGTCACAGGCGAACTTCTCGCCAGTGTGCTTGCGCAGGTGCACGTTGAGGTTGGCCTTGATGGCGCTGGCGTAGCTGCACTGGGGGCACTTGTATGGCTTCTCGTTGGTGTGGATCCTCAGGTGGGCCTGCAGGGAGTGCTTGAACTTGAAGACCTTGTTGCAGTATTCACAAGTGAAGATTTTGAGCTGAGTGGGACCTAGCCTAGAAACAGATGACAGCACAGTTACATTCGGAGATCTTGAACCTTCCTCATGAATGCTAAATCCTTTTTATGAACCAAACACCAGAGGCTTAACAGTGAACTAAGTCCAGAGAATGGATGGATGCATCCATTCGCTCAACAAACAGCACAAGAGGACTAGTGTGGGTCGTGTCCTCCAGGAGCATACAGCCTCGGGGAGAGAAGACAGGTTGGCAGAGGGTTGCACGACAGTGTGGTAAGAGTTAATAGGAATATGGACAGGGAAGAAAGAGAAAGAGACCTCTGACCTGGACTAAGGTGGTTGGGAAAACTTGCCAAAGAGAAGTCTGGGTGGAGGCTTGAGGAATAAGAAAAAGGCAGGCAAGAGAGGGAAGAGGTGTGTGTGGTTTCAACACGCACAGTAACCAGCAGTGTTCCAAGCTGGTATGTGTGGACTCTGGGATGTTTTAATGAGACCAGTCATAATGGAATGAACTCTGTCTGCTCCATAAGACTACACACAACCAGCTTTCCAACAGCTTGGGTAATCTAGACTTGCCTATTCATTCAACTGTTAAGGATGACCGTTTTTTCCCTTTCTGCAAGTTCCCATTAGTGAAAGACCCCTGTCCTCACTTCTTCCCAGGAAAAGAGTGACTTTGAAACAGAACCCATAATTCATGAGCTAGGCTCTCCCTCTCCCTTCTGGTGCAGATGTGCTGCCTATGGTGAGCATGGGACACAGCAGATGCTTGCCGAGTGGGCATCTGTGAGCCTGGCCAGGAGTGGTCCAGGACTGTGGTGGGGGGAGGTAGGCTGTCTAATTCCGCAGCACAGTAGCGGGATGTTTGGTCTGTTCTCTCCCCAACTCTGTCAGTAGTAGAGCTAATGTGTGACTCTCCATCTTCCTCTGCCTCTACCAAGGTAGGTTTAAAACTCAGATGAGGGAAAATAGGATCATCGGTTATTAAACTCTTACTCCATTTATTCACATGATTGTAATTTGTTAACACCTGTCAGTGTGTTTCAGGCACTATGTTAGATTTTGTGTACGTGGTGGAAGAATAAAAGCATGGTCTGCCTCCTGACTCTTGTGTCTTTCAATATGGCAATGTGTATGCTAAATGAAATAGTAATAATAATAGCTAACAATTATTGAGCATTTAGAATATGACAAACGCTATGCTCAGTATTTAATTCCAGTGCTATTATTGTACCCATTTTACAGTGAGAAAACTGAGTATTTTCCCAAGGTCATACAATTAGAAAGTGGTGAAGCCAGGATTTCAACCCAGGTAGATTGACGCTAGAGTCTGCACATTCACCCTCATCCTCTGTATGGCCTGAAAACACTGATGTGCAGCAACCTGTTCCCAACTTGACCATACACATACAGCTCCCTGCATGGGGCTTCTTGATGTTGAGATGGTCCAGCCTCGTTTCTGAAATCAGCAAATGACAATCACCAAAGTACTAGCAATAGGTACCAGGGACAGGAATTGGCAGATGAGACCAAAGAGGCAGGGAGAACATCTTCTCTAGCCATAAGTGCTTACTCTGGACCGCATGTCTAGGTTATCCAAGAAAGACGTTAGACTACTAATAATCATGTGCCATCAACTGTGCCTGCCGCATCTGTAAAGTCTATGGTTATAAAACTCTACAAACAACTATGTCTGATCAACACAGGTTGCCTTGTCTTTAAATTAATATTTAAATGGACTGTAATCCATAAACACTGGAGGGTACAATTCACATTATATAATTAAAATATTCAAATTTGAAAGTTACTAGTATGCCTGTATGCTAAGCTCAAGGCTGATTTAAGGAAAGTAATTTGGATCTTTCTCAAATGACAAAGATATCAGAATATAATACATTTTAGTGATATAAAGAACACTGAAGGCCGGGCGTGGTGGCTTACGCCTATAATCCTAGCACTCTGGGAGGCCGAGGCGGGTGGATTGCTCAAGGTCAAGAGTTCGAAACCAGCCTGAGTGAGACCCTATCTCTACCAAAAATAGAAAGAAATTAATTGACCAACTAAAAATATGTATACAAAAATTAGCCCAGCATGGTGGCACATGCCGGTAGTCCCAGTTACTCGGGAGGCTGAGGCATGAGGATCGCTTGAGCCCAGGAGATTGAGGTTGCTGTGAGCTAGGCTGATGCCATGCCACTCACTCTAGCCTGGGCAACAAAGTGAGACTCCGTCTCAAAAAAAAAAAAAAAGAACACTGAAGAAAGAAACCCTGGATTCATAACATTAATTAAATAAACAAATCTCAGTATTTCCTCCTCTACTGCAAGATCTAAATGGTCTTGGGAGAATCTTTTGCTCTGACTTTTTGTATTAGTAGACAAATAGGTGATAAAGCCTGCAGTGCCCCATTTCTGCTGAGGGCAATGAATCTGGGGAGGGTGCTAAGCAGCCTGCACTTGACTCTCAAGCACGAACCACTATCACTGTGAACCAATGCCCAGAGCCTCAATGTCCATACAATTCCTATTAAATTACTTCACTCCAGTGTTGCCCATTCAATAAGAGAGATACTCTCACCACTGCATTTAAAAAAAAAAAAAAATTAGGCAGAACTTTAAAAGGTCAGACACCTTAATCCAGTTTTATTCCACTTCTGCAAAGTTATCCAAAAGAAAGAATACAAAATTCAGAGGAAGGTGCTCATGGCTCATCTTTCACAATAGTTAAGAATGGGAATCAGCTCAAAAGTCCCAATGTACAGAACTAGTTTGTTTGAACATTTTTTTCACTCCTTCATTCATTCAAAAAAGTGTTCCAGACACTCGAGATATAAAAGGAGACAAATACAACCCCTGTTCTCTGGAGCTCACCTTCTAGAGGGAGCTAGGCCAGCCTACTAACTACAAAAGTAAGTGGATGAGGACCATCAGGCTCCTTGCTGAGAAGGAAAAGGGCAGGTTGCCCTGAGTCCCATCAGGGCAGACTGAGCTGGTCTAGGGGACAGGGAAGGCCTCCCTCAGGACAGGACAGGACATTTGAGCAGAAAAGAGGAGGGGAGGCATCCAGGAAGAGTAAGGGGCACCTATAAGAAGTGATCAAGGAGATGAAAAGGGCCCAAATGGCCACAGCAGCTGGCAGGAGCGAGCAAACCAGGGGGACCAGGGCAGGAGCATGAGGCTCAGAGTGGGCAGGGTCAGCCTGGAAGTCCTTGTTCTCCTGAGCACAAGGTGAGCATTTTAAAAAGATCTCACTAGATTCCACATGGAGAGTTGAGTAATATCCTCATGAAATTGCAGGACATTGCTACAGAGCAAAGGGTTTGTGATTAATTTGAGTAATAAAGGAATACAAGTATAATGTGATTGAGTTTTAAAAGCAAGATACAAACTCGCATATAAAATATAAACTCAATTTTATAAAATATATGTGCTATAAAAAAGGCTGGAAGGAAATACATTAAAATTTTTAATAGTTCTTATCTATGGGTAATGAGAAGACAATATAATTTTTTCCTTAGTTTTCTGAACTTAGTTTCCTTAGTTTCAGTTTTCTGAAAATTTTTCTTCCAAAATTTTCTACATTATAAATATGTATTATTTGTTATGAGGGAAAAAAAATGATATAACCTAAATGTTTTTAATCTGTAATTTACAAAGCAAAATCCTCATGTAAAAAATGTCTCTTTCATAGTAACCTTATAATTTATACAGTAAAATATTAATAGAATACATGACAACAGGAATATAGCCTAGATCTGTTGATTAAATATTCAGTATAATTTACCTGTAACTAGATTAACATTTAGCTGATCCCTTCCCCAACAGATTTTTAAATATTGTAAAGATAATTAGTTAAGATCTATAAATCAACCTGAGTTGAGACATAGAATGCCCTTGAGATTTAATTCTCTTTTAGATTCGCCAAAGGAATTATTTTACAACTTCATCAATAAATTCAGTTGTTCACATTTACAAGAATAGAGGACTCGGGCTACAAATTAATGAAGCATACCACATGATAATAATATAATTTAATGAGAGAGTAACATGTGCCAGATACTTTGCATATATTTTATCAGTTATTCTCACCACTAAACTAAGATTCTAATAGACAATCTTACAATATTGTAATAGATGTCAGAGGCAAAGTAACTTGCTTCAAGTTAAATATAGTACAAGCTTCATCAGGACAAGGACCGTGTGTACCTTACTCTTTGTCATATCACACCAGTGCCCAGCACATAAGAGGTGCTCAATTTGTTGACCTGAATGCATGCAGAAAAGTCAAAGTGAACCAAGGTCTGCTCGATTTTAAACCTTACACTCTGCTCAAAAACATGTCATCTCCCCTCTTCCAGAAACAGCAGGAAACCATTTCCTTTGTCTTTCCTCTAAGCTGGCAAGAATGTTTTCAGATTTCTAGTGATCAGAGTTTGTTAAGTGACTTTACTAGCTAAAGGCAAACTGGGGAGAGTGTCAGAAACACACTCATTAACTATGGCTGGTCAACTGAGCCAAGGTATCTGAAGGACAGTTTTAATGTCAATTTAAAGCATTAAGTGTTCACATCTTTGATGCACAGCAATTTCCAATCCAGCAATTTATCCCACAGGAAGTCTGGAAGAAGTATGGAAAGATACATGTACCAAAACATTAATCACTATATTGTCCATGACAGCAAAACCTGGCTATATAAACTATAAGAGATCCTCATAATAGCAAACACAGTTCTTTAAATATATATTAAAAATAAAAGCTTTTTGAAGTGTAATAAGTTAAAAAAACATTGAAAACAGTACTTTTAGTATTTCATATTTTGAAAAAAATAACAAATTTAAAGCAATATATGTTGGTATATCATGAAAAAATTATGGAGGCACATGAACCAAACTACTAATAGTAGTAACGTCTAGAAAGAGCAACTATGGGTTATTTTAACTCTACATCATATAGGATATATAAACTTTCTACAACATACTTGGATTATTTTTAAGAGTAGGGGAGAAATACAGATTTTTTTATTATAATATGCACAGCTATAAAAATCTGCAAATTTATTAAGGCCATGTTCACACTTCTTGTTTTTAAGGTTAAGCATACATTTGCTTTAAGTAAAATGCCTCAGTTTCATTAGGCCAATTGGTGCTCAGTTCCAAAAGCATGAAGGGCTGCAAGGAAGGGATTAATTCTTCTGTTAAATCAAGGAGTCAATATCCTTCACAAACAAGTTTGTAAACAGAATCCACATACACACGCCAATTCTTCTTGTGCTCTGTGGCATCCATTCGTGTTCAGCCTCTGGCTAGCACTACACAGAACACAACACCTTACCTGCTCGACTTCATCGGCTGCTCGTACGGTGTCTGCTGAATGGCATACTCCTGGTACCCCCTCCGAGGCACCAGATCTGCAGCAGTGGTCTCAGGATTCGTAGCTCCTGTTTCGGGGGGCCCAGCCTCCACTGGAACAATCTTGGTAGCACCTGAGATTGATATACGAGGCTTTAGATTGCTTATGGAGAGGCACCAAAACAGGGCACTGACCCCATCCCAGCAGAGGAAGTAGTGTTGGAACTATCTCTTTACTATGTGACACCCATGCAAGATATTAGTTTTCCTTCAGTTCACACATTTAAACTTCTTTATGTGTGCGTTTGTTTGTGTATATATGTGTTTGAGGCGGGGAGGGGCAAGTTTTCTACTAATCTAAGTGTTCTCTCAAGGTATATTTTCACTTGATCTACTTATTAAAAAAACAAATATATATAGACACACATATATACATACATACACATATATATTACTTGCAAGGTTTTCTGTAGACCACTTGTTAAACTTTAAAGCTGCATCAAGATAGTATGGAGTAGTGGAATAGACTGTAAACAGAAATTTAAGCCACCTGGGTTCAGTCCCAAATATCACATTACTTTAACATCTCTGGGTCTCTGTTCCACCCTATAAAATTAAGGGTTTGCAGTAGGAAATCTCCAGGGTCACCTTTTCCTCCGCAATTCTGTAATGGGAAATGATCAAAGATCTTTTATGGCAGTGGACACTTCATATGTATGTATGTGCACGTGTGTATCAAGTGCATTTAAGGAAGGGTTCTAATCCACCCATTGTTTCTGGAATAGCAAAGGGAATTAATTACACTTTTCATCCTCAAAGAAGTCTCAAAAAATACTACCACTAATTTTTAAGAAAATTGCGGAAACTTTCTCCAGAAACCACTGCAAATAGGAAACTCTCTTCTGGGATTTTTTTTTTTTTTTTTTTAGACAGAGTCTCGCTTTGTTGCCCAGGCTAGAGTGAGTGCCGTGGCGTCAGCCTAGCTCACAGCAACCTCAAACTCCTGGCTCAAGCAATCCTCCTGCCTCAGCCTCCCAAGTAGCTGGGACTACAGGCATTCGCCACCATGCCCGGCTAATTTTTTGTATATATTAGTTGGCCAATTAATTTCTTTCTATTTATAGTAGAGACGGGGTCTCGCTCTTGCTCAGGCTGGTTTCGAACTCCTGACCTCGAGCAATCCGCCCGCCTCGGCCTCCCAGAGAGCTAGGATTACAGGCATGAGCCACCGCGCCCGGCCTCTTCTGGGACTTTTATTTTCCAGAATAATAACTGTTCTGAAGTGAGTGAGGCAGACAAAGTGACTTTCCAGAAAGTTCTTCTAGTCACATAATTTAATATGGTCTGTTCCCTACTGATCGCCTTGCTCTGCAGTGAGATACAGAAAGGGAACTTGTTCAAAGTTTTTATTTTAAATAATAAGTTACTATTAGCATTGAAAATAGATACTTAAAAGGCTGTAGTTGTTATTAAAATCCTAAATTTGATTTTTTAATTTTATTTGACAGCTATCACCTCAAATGGATAGGGGAAAAAAAATTATACTTTAAAATCTACTATCATAAACTACTTTTTGTCTGAAGTGTCCCAGAAGAGACCTTTTTCAAAACAGATAGCATAATATATCCACTAGCTATTTCATGTGAAAGAAAATGGAGAGGGAAAGTAGTTGGTGAACCCCAGTGAAAACACGCAAGAGAAGTTAGCATGGGTTCTAGACATGCAGCCTGCATGGGTGTCTGGGCTCAATGGGCCAAGCCCACAGGCAGGACAGCAAGTGCTGACAGCAGAGGGGCTGGAAACAAGAGGCCCCTGAGTAGGAACTGTCCCTGGGGGGCTGCTCGAAGAAGAGCAGCAGGCGTGGCTGGGACGGCCGCAGCAGGAGCGGTGGCCTCACTACCTCTCCTCTACCCATTACCCACAGCAGCTCTGGGCACTGCAGGTCCAACACAGACCCAGATTAATGAGTAATTAAGTGGAGAGCCCCTGACTGCTCAAGCCACAGGGTTCAAACCCGCATTCTGACTCAGACCATTACGTCAGACTGCCCTTGGCACGGACTTGCCAAAAGACTCTTGTTTGTTCATTTCCCACTTGTTGCAGTCACCTGGAATAGCTTCGTGTGCAGTTAAAACCACACTTATGATGGGTTTCTTCACCCCAGACAGCTGCCCAGCCTCCTTTCCTGAGGAGATCTTCTGGACTTTCTCTGTTTTCTGCGTCCTTGGTCTTTTCGGGGCCTTTTCTCGATCATCTTCCTTATACTTCTTTTCTAGTTCAAGGTCAGACTCATTACCTAAGGAGCAAATACCAAGATGTATAAAATATCCTTTTATATCAGTGACAAGGGTTGGAAACATAACTCTTACAGGACAGAATAGGAAACAGAGTCCCTTCTTCGGTCCACAGCGCCGCACGGACCCACTATATCTCTGTGGGCACCTTTTCGGCCCTTCCTTCCTCTGGATTCAACACGTTTTCACTGAGTGTGTCAGCCACAGACGGAACAACAGCTTAACTTCCCGGGGCCAAACTGGCATTAGCCTGAGGGGTAAGGATAGCTTCACTATCAAGGTGAAGAACAAAGGAGCCACCTCTGGAAGGCACACTATTTGAGATTCCCAAGTGAGAAGGAAACCTAGGGAAGGAAGAGAAAGGAATTTTCTCTGTTTTAGTTAAGAGCCACAAAAAGCCACAGAACATATGGCAAGTGCTCGGGGAACAGCTCCACGTAAGCCTTCACCAGACAGGAGCTCAGGGGTGGGTGAAGGGATGTGAGATAAGCAAATAGGGGTTTGGAAAACGCTGGAACATGGGGTATCAGGGAGGAGAAATCGGAACTAGGCAGTAATAAGGCAGAAATGGGAGAAGCTAAGGGGAGACAGCCAGAGGCAATTTGGTCAGTCTGTTCCTCCCTGTGATTCGATTGTGCCTAAAGCCAGTCCTGCAGGAAGTGTGGCAAGGAATGCCTGAGGGGAAAGATAACTTGGAGAAGCGCTGGTTCTCAGGAAGGCATGCTCTCTCGAGCAGCAGCAAGGAAAAAACAGGGGCTAAGGAGGCAGATTGATCAAAATGGACATTCTAATTTCCTGTATTCTATAAACTAAAATCTTTTGGTGCCTGTCCCATAATCCAGGTGCTTGGATCACTTTTAGATCTAGTGGAAACAGTCTTACATAAGTTTTTTAATTGATTGGGAAAGGTCCTTAATCATACAATTTATATCAGCATTAAAGATGTTAATATCAAACTGCAAAGAACAATGATTGGATGAGATCATGAATTGGACAAAACTGCACGTCGCCCTCTAAGGCCAGAGGGAAACAATGAAGGACCATCACATGTGTCCACCCCTTGAAGAACAGGGTCATTCCTATAAAGCCAAAGAATGGGCAAAACAAGTGATCTCCTAGGTCATAGACAGTGCCTACATTTTGCAGACTTGATTTTCATCATGCCTAACAGCAGTTTTTGTTATATTTTATTTTTTAGTACCTATAATAAAAACATTTCAAAAGGCATACAAATTGCCTGAGTCACAGAAGTTCTTTTTTGCAGCCTACGTGTTAGGTGATACACACGCATAAATAACTGTAGCAGAATATACTGGACACTATAATAAAAAGGTAGAAACAACCTATTACAAAATTTTTTTGCTTTGAAAATTATGTTTCACTTTATACCAGAATTCACCATGGGATACAATTCAATATGTGGGTGATATGCCAGGAATAGATATGTTCACATAAAAAAAACAAAGACAAGAGAATCAGAGCTTGCCATAAGCTTAACCCAGGTTAACAGCAGGAATCAACTGAAAACAAGCGCATACACACAAGTGTTCACTTGCATTAATGAGGAGCTGGAGAGACCACCACATTCCATGCTGGAAAAGCTACATCTACAGTCTGCTTTAGGCATCGCACGTGAAGAATGGGTGGGTGAAGGTTTGCAGCCACATCTGATGAAAACCCAGTAGAGGCCCAAGTTGGCCTCAGTGCAGAAGACCAAATAAGAATCTCATCTCTCACCTGAACCACCCCAACAGCTCCCACCTGGATGTCCTTCCGTCTGGCAGCCCTGGGATGCACACTGTTGGTATCTACCCACCCATTCCCAACGCCGTCCCTGCTTGAGGGCAACGCTACCTCCTACGAGGGACACTCAGAATGCTGCTCCAGCCGTCCTGACAGCTAGGGCTACAGGGCGGCTTGGCCTATGGGGTCTGGGGAGAAGGGTGCTGGGAGCTTCTGGGGATGGCTTTCTTCCCTAACAAGGAAAGTACTGCCTCTCTTCTTCAGCGGGGGATTGCTGTGTCCACTGCCTGAAACTGAGCAACCACCAAGCAACTAGGAGAGTACGAGAGGCCCAGTGAAAGACCACATGGGTGCCTGAGAACCAGGAAGGGAGAGATGGATCCTGGGGCGTTAACAGCACAGATGTACCCCTGACCCAGCCCTGGAACCACAGCAGCTGGGTGTCTCGTTACACGAGAGGACAGACATTCTCATTGTTAAACTCACTTTTAGCTGGGGCCTCTACTAACAGTATCCTGACTAACACACTATCCAAACCATCCTCTCCACTGACCCAAGAGTCAATTTAAAATCCAAATCTAATCCTGTCATTCTCCTGCTTAAAATCCTTCAATGGCTTCCCTCCCATCTCCACTTGAAGAAAATGCTAGATAAAGTCCTCCAAGATTTGCCACGAATCATCTCTCCCACTATCCCTGCACCACCGAGGCCGAGACTTCCAAGCATACGCCCTCGCATATTATCTCCTCACTCCTTTGGGCTCTAACAACACTGAACCACAAGTTGACCAGACACCCCATGCCGTGTACAGCCGATGGGCCTTTGCACACAGGTCCGTGTATTGCACAACACCCTAATCCACACACCCCTGCTTGTCCAGATGCCAAACCAAAAGGCAGCAAGGATTTCCCCTCCTCTATAATACTCTCTGCCCCCTTCACCTCTGTACCTCCTCCGTTCTCTTTACAGACACATACACATCAGCATCTCAGTGGCTGGACTTCCCACACTGCCTACAATGTTTATATGCCTCATCCACACTGTGACTCGGGTATGGAGGAGGTTGGGAGCATGTCCTGTTGTTATTTTATTAAGCCTAACATAGGCCTATAGCAGACAAAGGGCCTAAAGCACACTGTGAAGAAGACCTGTGCTGTTGTGCTAAAAAAGATGAAGCCAAGACCAATGGGTAACAGTCCTCAGCAATAGATCTCAGCGCAGAGAAAGAAGTTTCCAACAGATCTGTCAACAAGGAGAGGGGAGTCTTTTTAGAGACGTATTTCTGAGGAGGGTTTTCCAGGAAGTCTCAGATACCATTTGTGATGCTACGGAAAAGACTCTGAGCCACGTGGGAAGCCTGACTAAGCGACTGCTGTACCTCTAAATTCTAAGGCCCTCTTCTACAGAGAGATGGAACTGTTACATAAAGAAGACGGCAGAAAAGAGGAGACGGCGAGGAGAGAAGCAGGGGCAGAGATGAGGAACAGGAGAGGCAGATACAGCACAGGGGACAGAACAGCACATGCCCTCAACCTGCTGCAGAGTGCCAGCTTCGAGTGTGCTCTGTGTAGGCCTTGGCCCTCCCCGCATCAAATGCCAGTGGGGCTCTCATTGTACCCCCATAGCCCACACACAACTCTGGCACCAGCTAAGGTGGACCCAGCACTCTAGACTGTCTGGGTGGGCAATTCTGGGAGTCACTGTGACAATGTCTTAAGAGTCAATCCCCCCACTGCTCACAGCAGGGACCCCATTAACAAGCCTTGGCTTTCCTGCCCTCTCTCTCCCATGCCTCCACTCATGCTTCCTGGGACCACCACCCAGACAAACAGTCTACAGCCAAGGCTGGTTCCATGGAATCCCAAGCTAAGACACTCTCCCTCAAGACTGCCCCAAATGCACATCTCCAAGCCCCCATGTCCCTCATCAATTCTCTGTGGCTTCATGCAACAAGGATCTCCAGTCCATGCAAGCTTCTTCCTATTCTCAAGAGCTTTAGAAGCTTCAACGCTAAGTTTTCCCACTGATTCAGGCACCATATGCCAAGCACAGCACTGAACAGCCTTGACAGTGATTCTTGATGATGATCTTAACCGATCCCTTTAGGCCTCGAGCACTGTGGAAAGAACGGGGCTCCCATAGAGGAAGAGCATCACATGCGCTCAGAGGCAAGTACCCGGTGCACTTAGGAAGGAGCTAATAACTCCGGGTAGAACACCCAGAAGATTGGGTGAGACATGAGCCTGGAGAAGGACTGGCATGAAGACCCAGATGCCACTTAGAGACTCTGGCCTACAAACGCAATTGTTACACGCAAAGGAATATCATGTTGTCCACTACACTCCCTCATGTGCCGTGCTCCTCACAGTCTCTATCATAGCTGCACAACTACATATTTTTCATTTCCAGCACTGAGTCTAGCACATAATAGGTGTTCAACTCTTTTTTGTGGAAAGCAGGGAGGATGGAGGGTAAAAGAGAAAGACATTTTATTAATGTCTTATTGGTAATTTTCTGCTCACTCTCATTTGGACATCAAAGTCCTTGTTCCCATTTGACCTGGTTGTCCTGCATCCTCACTTGACCCATCTTTGTACTTTTCAAAGTTGCCTTTTCTCCACTGAAATGCCTCCTTGGACTGAGCCCAGAAGTCGTGCTGATGGAAGCTTTTCTGAGTGCTTGGCATTTCTCATCTTCGCATGTATCATGGCCTTTGAATAAGGTGTTTTTAATAGTCTGCTGCTTCCTCTGAATTATTGACTTTTTAAACTTTTCTGCTTTTTCCCCCAGCTAACTCCTACCTTCTCTCTAGCTTCCTTTTCTTTCAAAAATTCAATAGCTCTAGGATGGGCTTTGGTTCTCCCTCTTGTGTATGGCTGCTGGATGCAGTCATGCTGTGAGCACGCTGCAAATGGGCTGGTGCGTGCGGCTGAGGGGCCGGTTAATGGAACCACAGCAGAGAGGCAGTGGCATGCTGTGTTCCAGAGACTGAGAAGCCAGGCTCGGACACTACTCGACCACTTAAAATGGGACTTTGGACAATGGATTAGTCTCCATAAAAAATGCTCATAAAAAAATAAAATAGAAATCATGAAATGGACCTCAAAGGCCTGTTGTGAGAATGAAAGAACATAACTTCTGGGAAAGTCCCTGGTGCATATTAAACATCCCATCCACGTTTGTCTTCTCTACCTTCTGGAAACATTTCTGGGACACCACCCCTGAAGGTTCTTCCAGCCACACATTTTCACAGCTACTC